CTTGGTGACTGACCTGCATTTATGACCAGTCGCAGCATCCCATGATCATATTCTCCTGCCCTGCATGAAATGCCTCTGCTTCAACTCTCCCCACCCACCTATCTTCCCACCATCTCTGCCCTTTTGGCTGCCCTGCACTCCACCACCTACCCCTGCTGCTCCCTTTATACCCTTTACTATATTCTTATTTTTTCTTTCTTTTTAATTTTTCTTTCTATTTTTTCTCATTTTTTTCTTTCTTTTCTGCACCTTCTATTATTTTTTTTTAGTTTGTATTTATTTTTATTATTGTAATTTTTTATCTTTAATAAAAATACTATATAAAAAAAAAGAATTATGGACTGTTCATCCCTGGGCAGATAAATCTAGAGAAAAAAATCCATATCTAATCTGCAGCATATATATTGCCTAACAGCATCTGAATTAGACTTTTTCCTCCTCCAACAAAGATCAACAAAGAGGACTTTCAAGCAACATGATCAACTGTCTTTTCAGCTGTTTTGTTTATAATTTTCCAGATTTTTTTTCCTTTTCTTTAATTTTTAATATGATGCCATGACATTTTGTTTGATATTATAAAACAATGATTTTGCCAAACTACTCCACCCCCACCCCAAAAGTAAAAGGCATCAAGACATGGGAGTCTTTGTTCTGAAATTCTTTATAACTCTACCTCATGAGAAGTATTGATCCAACGAGCTGGTTGTCCACAGAACTTCAGAGAGGGACCAAATATTGGTTCTGAAAATATATCTGGATACTCATCTAATAGGTCCCTGGGAAGCAAAGCAAAGGTCAGAAATTTTAAGTAAGCAACTGAAGACAGATTCAGGCTTCAGCTTTTGTGTATTGCTAATGACATCTGAACAGCTAATGACCCAAAGGCTTGCTGAATCAGAGTTCTCTTGAGGGAAGAATCTATGCAAGCCAGCTTCTAGTGGAAGTGCAATACTGTAAGGTTAAACTAGGTATACATACACACACACACACATATATATCATTACATTAAAAAAAAAGATAAAGAGCAACTCACTTTAAAATGTAAATACAAACTGCCATCCACTTAAGGCCTACTTCACGACTTTTGTTAAAAAGTGACAAAGGTTGTCTCCAGGCTATATTATCCCACTCCCTCAACCCTCTGTATATTAAAATGGTATGTTATGGAGAAAAATCAGCAAGGACCTTTTTTTTTACAGTAAATTTCCAATTGGATGGATTTTTTAAATATTCAAACACACTAGCTGAAATTTATAGTCTAGCATATGCAATATAGTATAAATTTCTAAATAGTCCTCCAATTGGTAAAAAGCTTGTTCAGATATAAGAGGTGAATTCTTCAGACCATTAGGTGACTGATAATGAACATCTGCGAGGTACAGCTTTTGTATGTCTTTAAGGCTGCTGAAGTACAGATTTTTATATGGTAGAATCTAAAGACTGCCATTCCATATATCTAGGCACAGAATACTGTACATGTGCCTTCCCAGATAATATAGGTGCATACATGAAATAAATTCTGTCCCCACTATATATAGCACATGACAGCATCATATGAACCAGTGCTATATTTTAAGCACCACATTTCCTACAATTATTTGAACCAGTGATTCTTCCTAAAAGGCTAACTATTCAATACATGCAAAATAATATTTTTGTTTAATTTGTTGTGCTAGAGGTTATACTGAGGTATTTAAAGCCGCCAACCATATCTAGGTATGTTTTCAATTCAATCTGGCTTCTGCTACAGCCACATGAAAACAGATGTGCTACTTGAGCCACAAACAAGCAGATTATTCATGCATAAGCACTTTCTCAACACTTCTTCCAAATGAAATCCAATCCATTGCAAAACCTAAAAGGTGCATTAACTGGAGATATTGCCACTTACGGGCTTGTTTCCTCAGAAGATTCTTTATTATCATCATCATCATCACAAGGTGAAAAACTCTCTGCTGACACATTGGTGAAAGGTTGGTTTCTGCCTATAACTTCTAGGCCATCCAGATCCTTCCTCAAAAAGGGAAAAATAAGGAAAAATACTGTGTTTTCATTAGTTTTCTTCTATTGTTCAAAAGAAGGGTCAGAACGTTTAAATGAAATGTATATTATAATCTTACAGGAGGCAAGATAAAAACAATACATAAGTTAAATGACATTTTTATGATATATGAATGGCTTTGTGTGTTGAAAATATCATACCGGGTTATAAAAATCCAGCGTTTCTAAAATCTCCTTTAACTCATTTCTCCGATGCTTCAGGAAGAGACTTTTTTCCCAGGCACAATGAAAAGGGAGGTATTTTGGTGGACTGGTACCTGTAGGAATATCTGAGAGTGACCTACGTATGTACATACCAATACATGTAATAGCTTTACTAATTTGATGCATAGCCACTGCCAAAATCCACTATGATTGCACAAGTTTCTCCGTGGCTGTGTATGGCCATCAGTAAGTGATTTCAGTTTTTCTTCTTCCCTACAGGCACAACCATGTATAAACACCCAATGCTTATGATGCCTCACCCATTTCTTTCCAGATGCTATGCGGTTTCCCAACATGAGTGACTTCTTCTGGGAATCCCAGGTCTGTCTGACCCAGTGTTGTGGTCAGTCCCTTGACTTCATCCCCAACGTGCACAGGCTGATTCCAGAACTCATTCCCGGAAAAGCCCTATTAATAATTAAGAAAGCCAAGTTCATACAGATAGAAGCTTCGTTTTGAGACACAGAGTAAATAATACAAAATATTTGGCAGGGAGACCGGTGCAAAAAACAACTACAGAAAAAAGAATAGGGTGTGAGAAAATTAATCTGAATTTTATACAGCTGCTTGCCAAAGGATAACAAAAGTTATATCCCAATTCTTTCCTACTATCTGCTATTACTATCTTCCCTATCCTGTTTTGATAACTTAT